ACAAAGATGATATTTCTCGTTTTATAAATATACTTCTCTAGAAGTCTATATGAATCATTGGTGCTCCTACCTGCAATATTGAAGTTTCAATCAACATCACAATTTTGTTAAACCGTGTTGTTTATGATATTGTAGGAGGTCGGATTTAAAATCAGTTAAACTGTACTGTGCCCTCACCTGTCAGCAGTTGAATGACCCAATTAATTGATGCTAGGATCTGCTATTGGTTTGTGTCAACAAATATTTTTATAACTAAAATTGTGTTTGTGTGCCTAATACAAAGCACCAGCTCAAATAATACACGAACTACGCTTTGTATCTTCGAGTGGTCTCCCCTTGTCCGTTATTGATCAAATAATGCGGTCGTAAACACGCCCAAGGCAGGCTCCTGATGGTCGGTTATATGTGCATAAACTATTTCGATATAAATTAATCGTTAATAAAACATCTCGTTATGGAGGATTTTCCTTTTTTTCTTTGATTATTTGATTTCATATAGATTTTTTTTACCGTAAGACAACATTAAACTTATCGTAAAAATAGCACCTCAAAATGTGTTGTTTTTTTTTGTGAAAAAGTTGGTCAGTGCGGGATAAAATGTGGCTGTAAAATCTTAAACCCTCTAAAACTTATGAATGAATTACTGAAATTTGATCGATAAAAGATTAAAGAGATAATTCACAAGTAACATCAAGGTCAGGTCATGATAGGAAGGAGGGAAACGAAGGTCATTTCACCTTGCCCTGAATCTTTTGTAACTGTTAAATGTCGGGTTGATATGAAGCTACTTTCAGATATTAACGTAGAAAACAACTACAGGGACACCATTAAAGCACAGATGAATATCAAGTCGAATGTTTGGCTTGGTCATATCTACATTTATATGTAATGCAGCGTTCTCAAAATATAACAGAGGTCGCTACGACAAAATCAATTAAAGCAAGTAATGAAATCATAATTGACATCATGAAATGTGACACTTGAACGTTATATTTGTAATTACATACAGGGCTTCTTAGGTGATTAAGTGTATATAAGCCTTTTAAATATCTTAAAACACATAATGTAGGTCAACGCTTTCGTATGTCAAAGTTTCACTGCTATAGGTTCATTGTTTAGCATGACCTTGAGATCCATGCATCTAATATTAATATTTTCACATCTCTGGAAAGTTGTTTGCTCTGTTGTCTTAAATGTTACTATTTATCTCAAAAACTTCTCGCATTTTACCTCATACACGTCTGCAGCTCAGTATTAAGAGACATTAGTGCACTCTTAAACAGGTAAGGTTTTTTTTTGCCCGTTAAACTCGCTCCAATATCTTGACATATTTTACATTGACGTGATTTCCAAACAATATGTAACCGTAATATTTTCCAAATAAACCCAAATTGGACTTCGAAAGCACAATACAGTTTTTGCATCATTAAAATACCAAAAATTGTTTTCAAACAATCGCTTACATTCAAATTGCCTTTTTAATTTGTGTATACATAATTATATATGTGATATTTCAATATAACGGTACTTATCTATAATTACCACTAGATCTTCACTGGACAAATCTATTGCCTCCGACCGATGCGATTTACTCTTTTCCTAACGTGCAGTAACATATTCGGGTATAATTTGATTATTTCGTGTTATCTGGAGAATGGAACTCACTTTTCGGCAGATCGTTAGTTGAAAAGAAATCACGCTGACCTTTGCCGAAACGTTTTTGAACGTTCAACTACTAAAGAGTGTAATACTCAGACGGACCGAGGTACATAGTGGCGTCCGTACTCCAGCGTATGCATGATTCATTAACGGGGAAATACATTCAATACAAATCCTCGTCCGAAATAGACGGACCGAGGTACATAGTGGCGTCCGTACTCCAGCGTATGCATGATTCATTAACGGGGAAATACATTCAATACAAATCCTCGTCCGAAATAGACGGACCGAGGTACATAGTGGCGTCCGTACTCCAGCGTATGCATGATTCATTAACGGGGAAATACATTCAATACAAATCCTCGTCCGAAATAGACGGACCGAGGTACATAGTGGCGTCCGTACTCCAGCGTATGCATGATTCATTAACGGGGAAATACATTCAATACAAATCCTCGTCCGAAATAGACGGACCGAGGTACATAGTGGCGTCCGTACTCCAGCGTATGCATGATTCATTAACGGGGAAATACATTCAATACAAATCCTCGTCCGAAATAGACGGACCGAGGTACATAGTGGCGTCCGTACTCCAGCGTATGCATGATTCATTAACGGGGAAATACATTCAAACTACCTTCCGTTTCACTGACAAACTTTTATCAGAAACAAAATGTCACGACATCGTATTAAATGGGAACAGTTACAACAACACTAATGTGAGCAACAATAGAAAAATGTTTAAAAGGTCATTAGAGAAATTCCGAAGTGATCCTTCCATCCCCTTTCCGAAGTAAACATTGACTCTGATAATATATGGACCGGTTAAAATGTACTGCAGCAAAAACGCAATAATAAAACGTTTATGACAGAAAATTGATAAACCACAGGAATATAGTTTATTTTGTATGATCTTAGTGGTAACAACGGAAGTGTTATTACTAAATACGGACGAAAACCCGTCGAATATAATACAAATAATGTTATATCATAGACGTTTTGCTTTCCCCTGCGGGACATGTACGTGTCACAGCTGCCAGCACGAGTAGCCACATGCAGCGATATATACAACACTGGAGGCTCTGTCCTTAACAAGACACCTGATTGGTATCTAGTTACGAATGTTATATGGCCGTTATCAGTCTGATATCATCTTGCGAACATGGTGTAATTGTCTCATTATGATGTGAAGAGATTATCTATGTATAAATGTTCCCACATGTAGACAAACAAGTGAAATCTGTTCTCTGTGTGTGATATCATTCTACAGTGAAGACCATTTGATATTGTTTTATAAGTGATGTATGCCAGCGGTTTCTGGTTAAGTTAGAAGTGTGCACCAGCTTTAATATAGAAAATATAATAACTCGTCTTCTTTTATCTATATTGATATTTTCCAAAGGTATAGATCCTGATAAAACATATATTTCTTTTAAGAATGCTATCTAATATTTTGCACTATCATTTTCCATGCATAAAAGATGCAATTGTCACACTTGTACAGCCTATAAGCAATTGTTGTATTTTATATTAGTTTAAACCTTTACTTTTCCTGTAACCTGCAAAAATCTTACAAACGTGCCACAAGATACTGAAATATTATATGAAATATCAATTGTTTTCTCCAATGCGAAGTTATTCCGTGTGATGTGTTGCGTCCCCAAAGTCATCAGCAGATGAACATTTGACAAAGATTCACTAAAACAAACAATAGCTATTCGAAAGTATTTGAAGTATTAGGTTTGACAGTATGCACCATTCGATCATCTTATTATAGACGGTCTTATCTAGGACGAAGATTTAAAGATGAAGGGAACAGTAAAGGAAATCCTTAACAAGTTACTTGTTTCAAATCTATTCTTGAATGTCTCAGTGCCTATTTTCAGGCAAACGCAGTTGCGATAAGCTTAATACCTCGAATGAAACGTATGTTTTGCGATTAAGGTATTTGCTAAGATCACTGAATTTGGACTTCAGAATAGTAGGCATTGTGTTTAAAGGTCATAAGCAAAAATCGTTTCAAATAAAAGTTTATATGGTCAAATTAAGTAATAAACACATTCTTTATCTTATACAAAATATCACGTATCTTAAATATACCAGCATGTTTGTGCAAGTATATCATTTCAATAGTTTTAAGACATTTAACTATGATGAATTTTTTCTTTGGATATTTGAAATATGCCATAGAAGAAACATTAGATAGTAATTTTCGAGATAAACGCTTTCTTAAATGCCATTTTACTCCTAGGGATAGTAAACGACTTTTCTTGACAGACAATTATTACATATAGCATAGTATGTAGAAAGACAATAACAATTAACCAGACATCTCATGTTTAAATTATTCTTTTCAAATAACATGACTGAACAATAGACACAGCAGATATTAATTTCTGTCTCCTTGACTTTTTGTTTCATGATCAACATCGATTTTAAAATATTCTAAAGATTGGTTCTAAATCGGGGATGAAACTATGTCATACTGTTTCTGTGATAAACAAGACATTTTATATCCTTACAAATGATATAAAGAATTTAATTCCACCATGAGATGTCATGAAAATTGTAGTATCAATAGCAAGTAAACCGTCTCCGACGGCATAGCTATCTACATTTCATGATTAAGTTACGTGTGCACGAGAAATTAATTCGGCAATTATTGATTATGTGTGTGATAAGTAATACAGATAAGATATATTAATATTACGATATTAATTTACTAACCCCGCCCCCTACCCCCCTCCCCCCACCTCCCCCGAAAGTATATACCATTAAGAGTGTAAATAATACCATGAAGTCAACTAGACTTTAGCATATAGAGACGCCAATTGTGATGCACTTTATTTGTATTTGGTACAAACAATATAACGTTATTTTAATATGTAATTGAAAGCGACTACCACGTCTGGTCACATGGGCAGCTATGTCGTCTGAACAACGAGAGATTTCTGAAAAAAAGACAGGCTTTTATATCAACAATTTGTATTATATTAAAATCGGGAACGATTACAGGTTGTTTATGGCACAGGCGTCTTCATATTGTTTTACATGTAGTCAAATAGTCATTGAATGATATGAATGCAAGTGTTTTTTATGGATTGCCTCGCGATTCAGCTAGGAACGGTTTGGCCGACAGCGGCCTGTAACCATAACATGACTGTTATATTGATTGGTGACGAACTGACATGGCAATGACAGGCGACATCTTCATTAATGTTCCACTCTCATAGCCCCGGCATGACTATTACAGTTGATGTTTACGCATGCGTGTTCGATATTCGTGATTAATCCAGATATATTGATCGCCGACCACTTAACTGCATACCGTCCCTTGTATACTAATTAGAATTAGTTTACAACAGAGAGGTCATGTGAGGTCAAGACGTCGACATTTCCAAGGCGATATTTTCTGATTATGTGCTCCTTCACTAGGCATCCATGTTAGCATTGGATATGAGCATACGACATTTGATAACGCAGCTAAACTGAATACGTCTAGCAGACGACAAGGGGGCGTTCTGCTGAAAGAAGAGTTCTTTTTTTATAACATGTGAGTTTATTTTAAAACATTGAACAAATGGCGAAAAATTATAAGATTTCCATGTCACTGAGGAAGCAGGAAAATGACGAACCGGTTTATCATAAACAGGACGGAGAGAGATTTTCTAAATCTCAGACAGTCAAATTGAATGTAAACACTGAATATTGGATTAAGTTAACAATCAGACCATCAATGATACTACGGTAAGTTCTTTCTACTTTCATTTCACCACATGCACCTTTCGTGATGACGGTACCAACTCTCGATTTTCGTTTGGTTATATATCAATTAAAGGCGTGTAACATCAATGATATATAGTAAATGGCTGAATGGAATGTTTTGTTGGGGTATACACACGGTAGACGTATTTCCACTGCTTTAGTAAATTGGCCTTGGGCGCTATTTTTACACAGACAAGAATATATATATATATATGTACTACTGTAGTCTGCACTACAAAACTAGGTCAGTTCAGCTAGGAACATTTTCTGTTGGTGAATAGTGGAAACGCTCTAGTCTGCCATTCAGTACTATGTTTACACTCTTTGCTATGCATGAACACACACTTGGTTTATAAGTCTCGGTGTCGTAAACAGTCTATATAATAAGCTTGACCTTTAGGTCAAATTTAAGGAATCAAGTGACCCTACTCCGAACATGTTAGTATGTTATATTGAAAGCTTATATACACTACACTACTACGCCAAGCAATAGCATGTCAATTTACACTTAAAGAGCTGAAGTGATTTTACTTACATTAAGGAAAAAGACTAATTGTGATTTTTAATTTTATCGTAATTCTTAATTTCTGTGATCCTAATATAAATTTTATTTTTGGTGATGTACTTACTGTGAATATTGCCATAAAATAGAATGAACAATAACAGCAACAACAATAGTTACAACAACATTTTGATGTTTAATGTATATTCATCCATCTATAATTACGATCGTCATTTTCACATCAGAGATATATTTGATATGAGAACGCATTACTAAAGTTGTATGTTGTATGTTTAAATCTGGTTTTACATCTGGACAGCTGTCACCATGTTTGTACATGTTTATTTTTAAATTCGATATAGGTTGTATTGGCAATCTGAAGAGAAATTAACCGATCAAATATTCGTGTCAGAACAATCAATAAAGAAATGGATTTTAACAACGTTATTGTACTTGACAAACAAGAAGCAATGGTTATTAATGACTACATACAAAGAATCGATTTCCTATAATAACAAAAATTATCATTTGCTAAAACGGGAAAACAGAAAAATCAATAAAGAACACACCTGCAAACCATAACTGTATCCAGGCAGACAAGAACCACGTATGTCCACAATGGTCTGAATGAGTCACCGCTGCTTTACCAGTATCGTTATGCAATAAAAATGAAAACATCAGCAATTTAACCTCTTTGCAAATAACGAGGATTCCAACGTATTGAGAACTAGTTAGATGCAATCCCATGAGACGGCAAGTAGTGAGCTCACGATTCGACTATTATGATATTATTGATTGGAGGACCAACTCTTGGATCTTTTCTTCAACAAATTTGATTTTAGAATTAACCTTGACCTTAAAGCCGAACAGCACAAACTTAACTATTTTCGTCCTTAACCTTTGCATAAAATTTGGTAAAAGTAAATATGTAGTCGCTTAAGTTATTTCGCTAATGATTAAGATTTCATTAACCTTTAAATTCCAATTTATTTAAGAAATCAAATCGCTGATGATGAAACTGACCTTAATAGTGGTTATATATAAATAGATATGTTGATCTACCTATCTCATTGGAGTTTTAGTCGCTACAAGTTTTCGTATGCCATTGAATTATATTGTATGGAATAGGATATAACAAAATAACGAGTATTAAATGAAAGCATTTCCTCTTCCGTGATCTTGGTTATTTTCTTTTAATAATAATGCATTCTTAACGAAAAGCGACCAATGTTAAAAATCAGTACTCGAAATAAATGAAAAGATAGTATAAGAAGCATTTCATACACTTTTTGTTTGATACACTTTTTCTCCACAAAGTCGGACTTATGAAACAGTGATATCGTTCATTCTCTTGCTTTTAAATTCATAGTTACAATGCATCATCATATTGATTTTTTGTAACCATAAAACAAATTTACACAAACTACCTACACATTTGTGGAACACAAACCAAAATTTTCTGGAGTCTCCGTGTCAAATTTTCTTTTATTCATATTTTATCCCAGTTTTATTGAATTTGAGTATAGATTATGATTATGTCGTGTATAATTCATACATACTTATGAAACAAATAAAATACGACAGTTTATTTGTAATCTATCTTCTTCAGATTCAAAGACCGCATTCATCCGACGTTGTCATAGACTCTAGGATAATCTGGTACTTTGAAAATCTTATGCTTTTTCAAGGATGGAAATATAACCTGATCTTATAGATACAATTTATCTAATTTTCTATAAACATCCCTTTTCGTATTCGGATGGTGACGTGCTTACTGTTCATAACAAACTAGAACCAGTTGTTCCAAAGACCTTTATATGCTTAGCTGAAACAAAAATGTCTGTTTGTTCCTTAAAACTTACAGAGGATTACTTCCAGTTGGTAATTATATGTTGTAAAGATTTAAGCGGCATCGTAAAGGTTATATTTATGAATGAAACAGCAACGCCTATGAAAATCAATGCTCGCTATCACATGATTACAATTATCAGAATGGTTGATTCGCATTTTTGCTCTATTGGTAAACAGTAAACAGAACAGAAGAAAGGAACACAGCATAACAAATATATGTTCAATTTAGAGCAGCTCTTTGGAGAAGTGTGTTGTATAACCCCCGTGAACTTGATTGCGTCTGGCGGTAGAGTGTATCGATAGACATTGTAAAACAACTTTGTGTTTGTACGTAAGTGTAATGTAAAAGATACAACTACATAGCAGCGTGTACACTTGTAGTGAGCAAAACGGTCGATACCCAGTTAGGTGTTCCTTCAGTGTTATCATGATGTAACACGAGATGTGTCAATTATTCATATGGCTCCAAGCCTTATCTTCACTCGGCATTCCTTCGTGGTGCAATACTTCTTATTGAAACTGGTTAACCATTGGTATAGATGCATCAAGTAGCTTTTGACATCGTTGTAGGAGTTTGTACTTTTATTCGGTGGCAAGAAGCAATTTTATGATTAGATATTGAATGTAGAGAAACACTTGCTTTTAAATAGAAATAGCATATGAGATGCTCGAACACGGCGATCGATCGATCGATCTATTGACCGACATTGTCTTTTGCGATTGGTAAACTTGTAAAGGTTCAAAGCAGACGTAAATTGTGATTACAAACCCAGCACAGCTTGTCTAATACATCAATGTATGCTGAACATTAGGACAATACCAATATATTTCAGCGTACCACATTCGTCATGCTTGCACCGATATAGGAAATTCTTATCTACACCTTCGTGTTACTTTTTTCAGTCTTCATCAGTTTACGTTTTACTTTGAACTTTTTTGTTTTCATCGCTTTAAAATTGTACAACTAAAAGTAATTAATTTTCCTTTCATGTCCGTTCCTTTGTTAAAGTGTTTGAACAGTTGTCCATTTCACATGATGAATAATAACGAAATCAATAACAAACAACTGATTTATCTCTTTAGTATCATTATTATCTCCCAGAAATACTTTGAGAGAGTGGAACTTTAATGAAGATGATACAGTGATAAGCTGGAAAGCCTATTTGGCAGAGAATTAGTTTTTTTTTTTTTTTTTTTTGTAGATTTTTTTTTTTTTTTTTTTTGCGAGGGGATATTTGTTTCGCTCATTTTGAGGGTAAGCCTAAATTCATGAATTCGTACGTCCATTAATAAGTGAAATGCTAAAACTTTCAGTATTTGGTAAGTCTATGGATGATTAACATAGGAGATACAGCTCCCATGAAAAGACCTTTTCGAAAAAAAAACAAAAAACAAAACAAAATAAAAAAAAACAAACAAAACAAAACAAAAACGAAACAAAACAAAACAAAAAACAAAAAAAAAGCAAAAAAACAAAAAAATTTAACCCCATGAAAATGTACTAGTATAGTGAATAGAATTTTATTAATTTTGAAACAAGTTTGTAGTGTATTCGAATTCTGTATAAGTATATTGGCGATTTTGTAAGGTTTCACGTACTTTTAGATTAATGTAACGACCGCAAAATATAAGCAATAATGATCGAACACTAACACGATTTTAAACTCCTAAATTTTCATTCATTACCTAGTAAACTTCATTGTACTATACACATTGTAAGTTAAAGAGATTACACATTAAATGAAGGCAGTAACGCACACTCTTGCTTGCTATATGTGCTACTTTAAACCAACAAGAGACACACGACCAAAAATGCAATCGCTAAACAGGAAAAGAAAGAAATGCGATGTTTTATTATCAACGTACATAAACTATACGGCATTAAACAACACCCTCCACATACCCACACACAATAATCCATCTCCTCAACACACATACTGACATACATCCTCACAGACAACATAAAATGTAGCGTACACACACACAATCGCTTCCAACATCCACAAAAATACACACTCAATCAGTTTGCACATATAAAACACATAACATATATCATTAGTGGCAACAATGACATTGATGATGCAGTAAGATCTACACTGTGTCTGTGAAATGTCAGAAAATCAATACCTACGTTGAACAAAAATAATCGATTTCTTTATCGATTTATCTTTCACAGATTTACTATCAACCATGATTGCCTCTATTGCTTTTAAACATCCTCGAAGTCAGTCAGTTTAGTCGGAATAATAGTTATGCTTTTTAAAGGGAAATACCCATTTATATTTGTATATTTGTTATGCTTTTTAAAGGGAAATACCCATTTATATTTGTATAAGTAAGCCCAGATATGTAGTAACATTAACTTCGGTAAAACATACTGTGTCGTATAGATGCTGTATACAATTATTGGAAATGTGATTTGGTAGACACCGTCAATGTTGCCTTACCGCATTGAAATTGCTTGTGTTGTTTCTCTACACACAACGTTTGATGGATGGCTGAAATAACTCCCTTCTGTAAGAGAATCGAGTATGTCTGGAACTGTCCCTGTGTAAAACGTCAATAGTCCTTTCCCTTTTAATATTTTACCTAAAATAGAACAATACCTACTCTTATATACTGCACAAATACACATTTCAGTGGTTATTTGATTTTTGAGCGTTTGGCATGTAAGGTACCGACTACAGAGCTTAATCATGGTATCAGAATAAGTTTGAGAACGTTGGTTTTCTTTAGAATATAACTGTGGAAGCCATCAGTACACTATTCCTTTTAGACTGGAGGATAGAAATAATATTTGACTGCGACAACGTTTTATTTATAGATCTAGATATACCACGCCTGAATGGATTTGAAATATATTCTTTCAATTCATTGATTTTATCTTTGTTCCTAAATCGTGTCTTTCCTTTTTCGTTTTTTTTTCAAAATATTTGGGGTGACATATTTTTAATTTTTTAGTTAATTATTTTTTGCACTCAGCTAAAAATGATGTTAGCAAATCGATATCAGGATGAATGATACCACTTGTATGGTACGTTCAGCTTAACCAATAAGTCACTTTGATACACAATGATCGTTTTTATAACCTAAACGTTTTGTCTCTACCTGTATCATTATGATTTGTTGACAAAAAATGACTAGTTTCTGAAAAGATAGATTTATTATCTATTCAATTGTTATTCTACAGAAGTATATGAAATAAAATTCAAGCTGACAATGCTACAGAAATTGTAAATGTAATAAAGATTTAATGACAATAATGTGTGGTTTGGTGAGTTCGTTATTTACAGCAACATCAGACAGTGATTTATATTCATACGAATTGAAATCACACAGGGAATTCGACAATGGAATACTTGCTAACCAAAGCAGCATCCTGTTTCAATATCACGTTTTCACACTCTTATCTTGGTTGTATTTTTGGACAATATTGAGACTATTGAGCTTTTGGTGTTAGATTTAAATCCCGACCTTTATACAACATGGTCTCTAAAGTAAAACAAGAATGTGACTGGAAATATGGCGAACCCTATCCATAATAATTGTTCCTTGAATTATACCATCAGGTAAAAATGCAAAAACGAATTCCAATAATAGAACTCAATACTCCGAGGACGTAGGTCAAGTAGTCTTGTCACATTGTATGATGGTAAATTGTTGCGATACATCTGGAAGGCATGATTTTAAGTTGTTGAGTGAAGATATTCTAAGCAATCTTTCAGATAACATCCAGACTCGATATGTATGGAAGCTACCACAATATATTCAGCGACATCAAATCTCTTCCCTCCTCTCTCTCTTTCTTTCAGATAATTGTTTGTTCGTTTCCTCTTGTAATTCTGTTCATGCTTTGTCTTATAGGGGTGTAGTGGTGCATGGTGAAAGGACTGAGTTTGTACCTGACACACCTACAAAGTCATTTGAAGAAGATGCGATGTACTACAAAGCGAAGTTTAGTACTGTGAACTTTGACACTCACAACCGAGGCAAGAGGAAAGACCTCCCGTTTTTGTTCGAGGTAATATCTTAATTTAAGTCGAAAATGTATTAGGCCGATCACTGAATATTGAAATACTATATTTTATGCATTAGAGAGGATGAATGTGGAATGCGTGATATTCGATGAAAAACGGTTCGATGAGTTCGGGATTTACTAGCAAGGAATATGAAATAGCACGGTCAGGGCCATAAAAACAGTTCGACGAATAGGGATATATTAATATTCAAGCAGCGCGAGTTCGAGGAAGTTGGGTATAATGTTCAAATAGAGGAAAGGGAATACAAATCAGAGAAGGTTATATCTATATCAGAAAAGTGTAATTTTATAAAGTTTTTGTTTTCAGATGATAACAGAATAATAAAAGGGTTTAATGAAATATCATCAATAAAACGAATTGAAATACCTATCGTTTTGAATATTCTTAGTGTTCTTATTGTTTCTGTGTTTATGTATGTGCATAATGGACGGTATTCGCCAGCTTGTACATAAAAGATGTAACGGATTCATAGCTATAAATTTGATGAGAAATGTTACATTGCTATCAAATTCGTTCCAGTTAAGACTTTTATTAGTACGATGAATATCCCAGATATTTCAGATAGCAAGGGAAAAACACAAACGCTTTCTTAGTTTTTACTTTAGTTTGAGTTCAGTTTTAATAACTTTGTACAAAATTTCGTTTATATTTTTTATTGAAAGTTTTAATTTTGATGTCTCTGCAATCTAATTACTTTAAATTCTCAAGGACAACGTTGGTACGTTTAATATACAAAGAACATATATAGAAAGCAAAACTGATTAGAAATGATTTTTTTTATTTATTTATCTTTTTGAGTGGAATGCGAACATTTATAGTTTCAATAACCAAATATTGATATTTACGAAGAAACGTAGTGATTTTCTTCGACAATTCCTTCCAAATACAAATCTTATACTCGATTCAGATAGGGATTATTAAGTCCGCCTTTGTGGAAAAGAAGAGAATCTCTATTCTTTATATGAATTCTATTGAGAATAAAATCTTCTTCCGTTGGAAATATTTGACTATTGCTATCGAACACGTGTCACCAGAATGTCTGCAACTTAATGTTAGAGTAGTTATGATTCTTTTGATTCAAATTGCTTTGTTGACGTCCAAAACAATCTCATGTAAAGCTTGATCAATCGAAATGTAGCTGTAGCTATGACTAAAGAAATGACAAAGTCCCATGGTAACCTATTCTAATACCATTCATCCGGCATTGTTACAATTGAACAATATTTCTTTATATCTTTATGCTCTAATTATAATATCTATTGACCTACTTTCAGTTTGACCATGGCGTCACCATGAAAACCAATGTCCAAATCAAGCTTTACAAGACTGGCGAAACAGAACATTCATCGTGGGGTCAAGCCCTCACTGTTATTGACTATGACTGTAAAGTATCGGATGGAGGAACATATGTTGATATCGTAAAAGAAAAATATCTTTAACCTCATTGAATTGAATTCAGCCCCGATACGATCCTTGCCCATAGAATTTCGAGCAATTGCCCTGTAACTTACGACTTAAGGGCGGTCTGCAATGAGTGTGATGATACGAGAGATAATTCTTCTCCTGTCCCCTAAAATGGTGCACAATAAGTACAGGTTCATTGGTGAAGATAACTTCCTCGATGGCTGACAACACAATCATGAAACTCATTGGAACAATTAAGGATCGCAAACACAAATGCAACAGAAAAGGGCTAATGTAATAGAAGGAAATACGTACACGAGATCAGGAGATTAAAATAACGTACAGACAGATGGACATAATTCAAATGACGTGAAAAGTGTTGTTATCATGTTTCTTAAGGAAACATTGCAGTAAATGTTATACATTGCTACGACACATGATAATGGAAAGAAAATGTAGGCGATCTAATGAACCGTTTAGAAAGCCTTTTAACTATTAAACATAAAAAAATCAATAACACACTCTCATATTTCGAACACCAGGAACATGGTGTTTCTTTTCTTCTTCCGATATATAATTTTGTAACTGAGACTACATGGTGATTGCATGGGTGTCGTTGAAAAATAGAGTTGCTAAATGGATAACTTACAAGGAAAATATCATCTGGAAACGATTTTCTTTCTGTCTTACAAGGGCGACGATATGACAGCTAAACATGGAATATGGAGGTTACAGATATTGGTATTAACTGAAAAACAAAACGACTCTAAATTGGTTACGTGGTGAGCTATGTTGGCGTTTGATATCATATATGACAATGGTGTATAGACGAGAAATTTGTGTATGTTGCGATAGACACTGTGATAAACAGCTGCCTGTATATGTATACGAGATAAGATAATTTGCCAAAAAAGGTGTATTTTATTAAGCTTAACTAACGAAGCTAGCGAAGCGAACATTTTTATTTCATTTTTCTGTTGTTGATATTATTTAGATAGTGCTGTATGTGTGGTATAAAATATATCCATTCCAGCATTCATGAAACTAGATTATCAGAAGATTAAAAGGTATTCATTCATAATATCATAAAGTATGGTTTGTCTACATTACTGTTGAGTTAATTGATCACCAAAGCAAGACAGCTAGAGCACTAAAGTTGTGATCCCAGTTATATTATACATTGTAAGTAATTGAATAGACATTTGTGTTCGGGTTTACGTGAAGAATATTATATAAACATTATTCTTATCGATTGTTTGATTACTTATGTTTGGCATGTTGCTAATTGTCCTTGATGTGGCACCGACTTTGGTAAAATATGAATTATTGGGATGTCTAGATATTGCCTATATCGATTATTAAAATAATTTTGTTTTATGAAGGTATATCATGCAAGCTGTGACGTTAATGATTCAAAGTGTACTATAATCTTAGGTAGGTTTTCTAATATGATGTAAGGTATAATGTAATATTTAGATACACAGATTTGGTGTTGGACTAAGTGTTTGATATAAATAGATTTATCATATTTATATTAATTCAATAATTGGTATTTTGCAGTGATCGCCGTTTAACCAAAAATGTATAGAACAAAATACCTGACGTAATCATGTAACAAATCGAATTTCCGAATACAAAGAAGGTGGAGAATTAGCAGCTTTTCACTATTTGTTATTTATTTTCTGCTGAACCGAGTTTAACGTCTTTTTGTATAATTCTATTTTTTACCAATTTATACAATTCTTTTCATCGCCTGCAATATTGTCACTTATTTATTCTTTCCGATCCATATGTATTTTCATATTCTCTTTTAGGGAAATGTTCTTATTAATTCATGAAATGTCGATTTCATTTACACTGTCAACGTTAGCAGTTAATATGGCATTGTTTTGAATGGTTAAGCTGCATAATTAAAGAGGTCACGAAAATAATACGAGAAAAGAAATAAATTTCAACTGATCAATTCTTCACATTGTTTATTTCTGACACGTCCTACTATATTCATATTACAGTTGTCTTAAAATCCAAAACTATTATTCTATACAATTACGACCAAGAAACGTCTGATTTTAAATGCTTTTTATATCATACAAACATGGAAAGTTTGAAAATACGTCAAGGGAGGTAACTCAAATTGAGTTTGTAAGTAGCTCTACTTTACAACCAACTGACTGTTTTTTTTCTGTAATTATAACTTGTAGAGTGATATTCCGTATCATGAAAGTGGATTTGTATGTACAATGTGTTCATATGTAAGGATACGTATTTGATTGAGGCCCAGGTACTCCATATCACTGTTAATTATGACCTCATTCCATTACATCTAGTAATGTATATGATTAGTATATTCACGTTAGGATATAGCCATAACTTACGTCTTTGCACACCAAACTAATTTGAAAGTTCGGCAGTAACGAACGCATCTACTGATAAAAGTTGTCAGACAAATGTTATTGAAGGTAAGCCAGAAACAGGTAATTTATTGAGTAAGTTCTTTATTTTTTGTTTTTTGTTATCTCTCTCCTCCTTCAATTTGTTTTACTGAATACATTTAAGTATACCAATAAAACGAATGCATTTGAACACACAGATCTGTTGTACTGGAACGGGTCTCGATGGTCAATGGTTAATCTGTTGCAACTCAGTATGAAAACCACCCCGTTATTAAGACCGCTTTCAATAAGCGGTTTACACTACTATGATGTTTGATGTATTGTAATATCATACATGTACTAAAAAGTATAAAACCATTACCCAAATATGTTGACCGAGCTAGAGCTAAACAGTATGTGATCATGAGATGTCATTTTCAAGAGTGGATTTGATTTTGGTTTGTGAGAAAGCGCAATAGTATAACCACCATTATCATTTTGAAAATGTATTTACATATAAGCTTTTTACCAAAAATGGGAATAAATGTGCAATATACCTATGTCGTTTGTTTTCTTTGTAATGGTGAATATTTCAGGTGATATCGGGTTCACATAACGGTTAATCACCAAGATTAACAACGACGACAACAACAACAACAAGAACAGAGAATCCCGACATGTTTGTCTTAATTCAAACTCGTTTTGATTAACGAGGGCAAAGTATTTATAAAATAAAAAAAGAAATACAGGAAACCTTGATAATGTACAAAGTGTTCAGGAACTTTATCTAATAAAGTAAAAATCCAGGAATTCAGAAATGGTTAAATGTTTCAAACTTCTGTCTGTACGAGTTTTTTGTGCCGAAAATTAAAATATCACAACATTAAAGTATGAACATGGCCAATTTCGTCAAACTGAACACAAAGCCTTAGATAGATATTGATTAAAAGCTATTGAAAAATGTAACGAACAGGAGACTGAAATATTAATTGCACACTTCGCACTTCATTACATAAGGTGTGGCTTTTCAATGATAAGTTTTGTGAATACGCTTTTAGCTGACGATAATGTTAATTATGATATAAATGGCACATCCCTTTCATTATGATAACGACAACATAATGACTTCAAATAATTTGTGATTAAGCTAAAGCATGACTCATGTTGTTAAAGAAATATGACACTTATCACTGGTTATAGTAGTGCACGTATATAAAACTTAAGATCAGCCAGCAAAACGAGTGATATTTTATATAAGGAGATATTGACCTTTTTAAAAGGTGTCGCTCGGTATTTTGAGATTAACGAATAGATAATAATTATTTTGTTCATATCTAACCCTAGTTTTATGGAATTTGAGTTTGAATTATGATTATTTTGTCATGTTGGTTATTTTTTTTCTTTTTTTGTTAGTTTGTGTTTTTGCTGTGGATTCATAACAATTCAAATGCATGTATATCATCATCTCATAATGGAAATATTACTGCTCAATGCGTTCTAACTATTCTGAGTATTGATTGAATATCGATGACAATAACCATTCAGGCTTAAACTTTATACCTAAGAAACATTCGTTATCTACGATTTCGTTTTTCGATTGGGCATTAAATCTCAAGTGTGTCGTTGGATCACACTGGCAGTTTTTGTTGATTTATGTTACTAACAGTGCTGGCAAACATTTTATTACTTTTTTTCAAACTGTAAGTAATCAAATTCCCAGAAATTGCAAATTAGAAATTACGAAATATTTACATTATATATTTTCGTTGTGATACGATTAAGCATTCTACAAGCCAGAAGATGAATAAACCAAACCACACGAAGAAAATGTCTGTCAGCCATGAATGTCTCCGCTGCCATTCTTGTATAATCTAATTTGACCTTTGAACTTTTAACCTTGACCTATGAAAAGTCATGAAGACCCATGAAAATGGTGTGAGACAATAAGACCATATGTTCAAAAAGGTAAATCTTGGTCAATCTATGAAAGTAATGTCACGTTCCTAACTGAGAACAAGGGTATCGACTTCGAGGTCATCAGGCATACTCCATACTGTACAAGGGAATTAATATTTCCCAATTACATCACTGTAATGACCACACATTCTCGAAATCTTCACCAACCTGCATCTCTCGAAATCCCGTGCTGTGTTGTCCTGAGCTTACAATACAAAAATAAGATGCATTTAGCGAATTAGGGGTTAACATGCTGCTGACAAGGCATCCGATGTTCAGTTAAAGTCCCATCATGAAAATGACATTTACATAAACTTCAGTTATAGCTAGGGACGCTTTAGACAGTCGAAACATTTATCAAATTATCCATTTATATAGCTTACCAGTTTTAGATAATGTGTATCATTCTAAATATCATTATAACATTAACACATTCTCACAAATTACATGATTGTATGCGTCATGTATGTAGAACATATACACATACATTGCTGATCGCGTGGAGAAAAGTTGCCCCAATTCTGATCGTATTTCAGGGTTGTAATCTGGATGGAATTCGAAGCCCACAGCAAAGATACGTACATCTATTAAAAACTTCAAATCTAGTGTAGAAAGACATGCCTATAAAGACACAATCTTAACCGAAAGAGAAATAGAAAAAAATATTTTTAATGAGTATTAATGGTTCGGATCAGCTTTAGCAACGAGAACTTGTCACATGTTCCAAAAATAATACAAAAAGTTTGGTTACACCTTCAACAATGGTTAAAGGTGTAATGCTGTTGTCACGTCTCTTTCGTGTTTTTAAGTAGAAACTGACTAGCGCAATAGCAGAGCGGTCATTTATCTGACATCAAATCCGTGACAATTTCATTGTATTACTGAGAAATCCTTCTGTGCCTTCTCTGTCACATTTGCTTAAAGCGTACAAAGAAATTTTATCGATATAGAAATGACTAACTAGCGGTGACTAAGAAGTATGAATAATTTTATCGTTAAAGAACACGACGTGTACCGCTAACAACGTGATGGACCACTGCGTATAAAAATTTGAATGACAAGGGAACAAAAAATAAATAGAAATATTTCTATCGCCGTGGTAGTCATATACAAAGGTGTAAATATAAGACATTTTCGCGTCTTTCTGGTGACACACAGGCGTGTATCTAAGACGTTCTCTCGTCTATCGGGTGATATACAAACACATATTTAAGACATTCGACTTCATTTGAAGTATGAAGTTAGAGGTATTTGGTTCTTATAAGTATACTTGTTGGTTTCGTCGTTGTTTAATCTATTCTCATTTGAAAACGTGATCTTTCTTACTTAATCTCACCAAGATTTATATGATTTACAAGATTTTCTGTCAGTTGTCAAACGTTCGTCAATCTAAGCAGGGATAATACAATCTTTGATTTTAAAAGTTAGAATATTGGGTTTTGTCAGTACTCTGTCGTATTTCTGTCATGTAACTTTTGTATATCACAGTGTCAGAATATTATTCCGTTGTCCTGAATCCTAAAATTAATCCAAAAATATTGCAGATTATTCTAATTAATGTGATAACTATATATTTATAACAGCAGATAACTTGTTATTTTAAAACATTTTCTGCTTTACATATCATCAATCACTTGATCAACCATGAAATAGAAATACGTTTAAACTTGAGATTTCCTCTATTTATATATATTCGACATAATGCACTAGTTTGTAATACCTATATACATAATATGCGTATAATGATAACAAAAACAGCAATTTATATAATAGTATATCCTTTTAATGTAAAAAATTGTAAAAAAAAAATCACCCACGTTTATACCACATTCAAAGAGAATCTAAGAAAACTTTAGGAAATTGAAAATTCATTGAATAAAAGCATGAAATATTCGACAACAGGAATGATGTACATGTAGAAAGTGTACAAGTCTTATATCTATTAATTAAAAAATCAACAAAGTATTAAACGTCACAAACTGATAGTGAAAAAGATATTTCACTGTTTCAATAATGTTCTTAAACCGATCACGCTTTTGCGAAAACTTTAGCCCAGTATGCCCTTGACATATCTAAGTCCCGTCTTGAGTTTGGCTCAGGCTTTGCTGTGATAGTAACGCCAGAAAATTCAGTATGACCTTGAGTTGACAGCTCAATGAACAGAACATCACCACTTGAAACACCTTCTACTCTCAGCGAATTAAAATCGTTCATGAAAAGTTCGAGTCTGCTCTGTGCCTCTTCGTCGTTCTCCCATGTTCCGACTCGTACCGTTATGTCAACATCGTTGACGTCGTGCGTGGCTTCAATTAAGACGGCTGAGGTTGACCTTGGCACCTCATAACCAAAAAGAGGTCTAATATTAGGTGATATTGTTATTCTAGAAATAGGGTTGTGTGATCGGAGACGGCGAATATGGTCGGTTACATCGCAGGGTTCTATGCCTACGTCATTCAAAGCTCGAAGATATGGTGTGGGATTCTGTCCTAGATCGTAAGCTGCCTTCAGCACACCACAGCCGGCCTCCTGGAACCCTGTCATGCTTCTCCAATACATGCGATTAGCGTGCAACAGGGTATGGGCAACTGGTCGAATGACTCCTCCCTTTTGTTTGATGATGACGTAAAACAGTCTCCTAAAGACACCACTTGAGTAATGGGGGTCCATTCCTGTGCTATACCCGTCAACATTGCCTGGTGAGTTACCGTCCAGCTCTGGCTCTCTGAAATAACGCATTATTTCACCCTTGTTGATATCCAAACCCACATACATGTCACTTCTGAAGTCGATATATTCTTCAGTGGCTTCCCCTAAAATGTCAGAGAAGGCTTCGTTCAGTCCACCCATCTCATTATGATATTCTAATCCAGAACTCTGCTCTGTCACCCCGTGTCCTATCTCATGACCAACAACATCGAAACTCGTAAGAGGGTAGAAGGTTGAAGACCCGTCACCAAAACTACAATAACTACCATCCCAGAATGCATTGTCCATACCGTGTCCGTAATGAACACGAAGAACTGGTTTTGAATGTAATGGTGTTGTGTGAAACCATTCTTCAAACATCATACCGACGGCTGTTCCTGCGTAAAATGCGTCTAACACTGGAGAGTAAGCGCCGTTCACTTCATCGTCGTAGCCATTTCTGCATCTGAATCTTACAGTTTCGTTTCTGGAGTCATCAGTTGATTGTTCCATATCAATAACTCGAACATACTTGTTTTCGAGGATGCACATATCGCCTTCAATCGTAGGGGACAGACAAAACGGAGAATCTCCGTACAGGATCTTGCCCATTTTTTCATTACCTCCAACACCCTTGTACAGTCTTCGGCTGCCGCCACAATCCCAGGTTTCGAGACTATTCCATGTCTTTATAATTTCTCCTGATCTGGCATCAAGAATCATGACTGGTCGCTTAGGTACAGCATCTTTTCTGGTCAACACGTATGATACGACGTAAACAGAACGAGCCCTGTCAGAGTCTCCGAGATAAACATAATGCTTGGTTGAGTAGCGAGTGATGCTTGATCTGTAACTTTCTGCGCCTTCTTCTTCTATCAAAATATCAAGAGCTGCAGATGGAGAGAAAAGGGGTTCGACAGATTCCAAGTCATCTTCAATCCCCTGGACGAATAACCCTGCTGCTTCGCCTGTCAGCTTTCCCTCCTCGTCAACCTCAACCGCAACAACCGAGTCATAGATTGGAACACCATGATATGTTTCCTGAAGTCGTCTCACCGTCGTGCCTTGTGCAGATTTAACTTCACGTGATATTGTCATTCCCTCTCCTGCAGTGAGGTCAAGTAGTTCATCAACAGTGATATCTTTTAGTTCATCTCGGCGTTCGTACATGTCATCACGCAGTGACCTCTTGCGGATACTATGAGACGCTCGTTCTTTAGCATTTACCAGTTGGGCAGCTAGTGCCTGCTGCAAGCCAATCATGGCGACTGAAATGAAATTTTATTTGATATCTTAGAATCAGAAACAACGAATAACAAGCATTCGCAGATAGAAAGTAATTTTTTGAATTTCAAGAAAATCTATTCACGGGAGTATGGAAAATTACAAATATTATATACACATCATATACAATAAAAATTCAAATATTGAAAACAGTTTGCTGGCAATACCCTTTTATTAATATTTTCAAATTATCAATGGTAAACAAATTTCAAAGTTATGGATCAATAGTCAGTATATGGCCGCAAAACAATATATAATTTAGCTTCATTTCTTCAAGACAAAATCGTTTATTAAATCAATTACAAGTCTCTCCAAGCATGAAGACGTCAACACTAATGTAAAAGTGTGTTCTTATCTCTGTTTATCTTTAATGCAAAAGTATGATCAGTGTACGTACAAGGTAATAAATTATGAAAATTGTGACAGTATTTCATCAAAAATTGAATAAGAAAAATTGTCTCTTCGACTTTAATTTCGCTTTTTTTTCTCTCTTTTTCTCCCTAACTACTGTGTAGCTAGAACATTTGACGCTGTTGTATATACAAACTAACATAGGTACTTACCCATGAGAAACAATAACTTGTGTTCCATGGTAAAGGGGTTTTCCTCCGTTTATCAAGAGACGAATGGCAGGATTCTACAACAGTTCAACAATTTATAAGCAAATTAGATGAGTGCTTCAATTATTCATAATGACAGCAATTCACTAGCTCAATTATCTATCAAATACCGCCAAGAGGTAATAAATTATAAACAATCTGAATTTGTTTAATAGTTATATATTTACATATATTTTGCTATGAATTAACTTCTTAGTACTTCCGGTCTCTGAACGAATATGTGACGTATGCAAGCAGCTACAATCTACGCTGATGTTGAAAATGTAGACTAAATGTTATTACATTGTTGTTGTGTGCATGGCCGTTATTGAAATACTTCGCTTCTTAATAAGGAAATCACGGCACTTTACTAATCCTATAACTAGCACGAATAGAATCCACTGTTTGAGTTTCAGACGTCAAGGATGACTAATTTGAATAATGACATTTTACGTTGATAATTTTGAAATCGACATAGTTTAACATTGATAATAATCGGATTAATTTGCAACACTTGGCTTCATTTGTTTTAAATGCGTCGGATCATTTGAACACAAGTAATCCTATTAGGGATTTTAAATTACCATATAATTTCCGCGGGGGTATGATTTTCGCTATTTCACGTAACATTAACGTAACCGCGAAATTTTAACCTGTGAAGTAATGGGACACGAATTAATGAGATTTTCTCTTCCTTACGGATCGCAATAATTTTCATTCTTTGAAACATAATTCGAACGTTTTGTTACGGAATCGCAAAAATTTGATCCGTGAAAATGACCCGCTGTACGGTAATAAATTTTGGTAGCAAGTCACAAAGCAAGTAAATATTTATAATGATAAATATTTACATTTAACATTCTGACCTTACACGTTTGCAAAATTGAATTTGTCGTGAAAATGATTTTAAAATGTCAAAGTGGATCGTTTAACAACGAAATCGTTGAGACAACTTGGATCATAAAAATAAAAATATAATGTTCATGGCGACAACAGTAAGAAACACAAAAGATAAAACCTTCACATAACACAAATTATTAATACATGTAAAGGATTTGGAAACATGAATCAGTTCACAAAGAAATGAAATTGTAAATCAAATCAACTTCACGTTAAGTGACCCTGTCATTGTCTTTACGACCACGTTCGAGAAATATAAGGAAACTTTACAGAGCTGAAAGAAGTGTATCATCATATCATGATAGAGTAGAAAAGAATGGCACGTAGCATCATCCTATAACACTTCTCAAACTCTCCCAAACATTTGGTTCTTGGAAACACCATTGTAACTTTGCGCCAAGTATAACTTATATGACTAACATAGATATAATATTGCTTTAAAAATTGACTTCTGTCTCTGTAATAGCATTCATTATGAAAAATTAAGCTGATTTGAAAATAAAATGTTTTATGACTTTATGAATATAAACAAATAAAATTTGATTATTGTAGAATGATAAAGCTAAGTGAAATATTAAAGTATCACAAAAAATGAAACAATAATGTGATGTTGTGGAAAACAATAAAAAGAGTATATATTACGACAAAATAGTGCTCAAAAAATGTAGAAATTACAATTAACAGGTCAGAATTATGTTTTAAAGGAAAGTATGGCTTAATAATACTAGACAGTTATGATAGCAGGAGAGACAAAAATGTAACCAACTCAAACAAAACATAGTTGTAGTAGATAATGTTAGTCTTACCTGCTCTGTGGTTACTGGCAAGTCTTTGTCTTGCCAACTGGAAGAGATCTATCTCTGAACGGATGAGGTACGCTCTTATATAGGACACAAACGGAAACTGTCATTTCGAAATTTCCACAAAATTTGATAGTTTCTCTGAATTGTGCAATTTTTCCGCACAAACATGATACAACAGGGTTAGTAACACACCCCTCAGTTCTGTATCCACTGTCTAGGATACGGCACAGTGAATATCTGAATAACAATACATATGTGTGGTAAACCTTTTCTGCTGTCCGTCAGTGTTTAATGATATATTATAAGGATTGCATTACTTAATAAGCCGACATGATTATCAATAGCAACAACATAAAAATTGTAAATTGTTTACAAGAGTATTTATCGCATTTATCGCATCGCTTGTAAAAAATATTCTTAACAACTCAACGAAAATATATATATTTGGTACAATTTTGTTTATACTGAAGCTGATAACAAGTCACGTTGATACTAAACATTATCTTATGTTAATGTTGTTCTACGATCCAAAATCCGTTCTGTTTATTTCACGTGCAAAAAGAAAACTTCAGTGACAGTCCCAATCAGTTAGCTACTGTAAATATATACACGCGTTTCAACATGCAAATTAAGACCAGACATACGCACTTTTAATGAAAGCGGAAATCTCGAGTGGTGATGACGTGTAACCGAAGGCGTGTATGTGTGCTTTTAAAAGTGAAGAAACAAAAAACAATCTAAATAATGTAAAACCGTTATGATTTTATGACATATTTTTAGTCACACAACGGTGATTACGAGAAAAATGTTAAATAAAGTTTGTAGTCATAAAAAAGTTGTTCCACTTCATGTAATGATAAAAGTATCTTCGTATCTTATTCAAAATAAAATAGTCTTAGTACTAGTCTAAGTATCTTGAAACAAATTATATCCTTGCAATGTACGTGTAAAATTGAAATAAACTTCCAAATGCTGATATTGGTCAGAAGAAATTAATATGTCGTATATACATTGTCGTACATATTATCAATCATCTGGCTGTTGTTTACCTGCTTCTCATTTTAAAACATTAATTCTATATTTTTTGCAACACTCTGATATTCAATTCTTTCTAAGACTCTCCATGTAAATATATCTTTTGTTCATATTTTTACCTTCTTTATATCAATTTTGTGTTTGGGTCGCGATTTTTGTTCACTTAACGACTGTTTAAGATACACGGAAAAAGAATGAAATAAGAAAAAAAACAATTCCGATACACCAGATGTAGTAAGATTATCGTGGGAAACGTATGATCATAGCTGTAAAAAATGTATTAAAATAGAAATTACATGACAGAGTTGCATCAGACTTACTTACAGAAATAGGTTAACAAAAGCGATGTGAAAATTAAAAAGAAATGGCATGCACCCTCGACCAAGTGAAGACAGTCACACCTAAAACCTCTTTAAAGCTAAACAGACAACTTCGCAACTCTGCAGATTTTGTCGCGTTTTATCATGTGGTATTCATACCTTTTTGAAATGTAATACTATTCTGCAGATCCTTATCGGACCACATTGTATAAAAACTTTATGGAACTAAGATTTCTAAAAGAAATGTCAAACAATAATGTCAGCTGAAGTTTTAAAACGTCCGGTTTATTGAGTTACAGTGAGTATAGCGTTCTTACCTGACCCCACACACGCAAATTGTAGGAAGTACACTTGGGATTTTCCATATATCAGTATTATGTGTCCACAATACTACTGAAAATCCTTGCAGACAAGGTATACGATATATGAAGGCGAGTTATAAAACTAAATAGAACATTTCTATACAAGTATCTCATACGTTTAATACCAATTAAATCATTATAGTGCAAGCCAAGTTATTCATTCAAGTAACAATATTCATTCGGTACTTAGTGAGATTAAATATTTCATATTGATAATATGACATGAAGTATCTCATTATTAAATAATGTATTTTGTAATCAAATAAGGTATATCATAATCAAATAATGTATTTCGTAATCAAATAAAGTATGACATAATCAAATAAAGTATAACATAATCATATAGATATAAGGTAATGTATCTGATACAACCTGATATATAGAAATTTAAAAAAGATTATCAAATCATGGGGCTGGTGCCCCTCCTATCACATAGATTTAAAATTTTAGGATTTAGAATTTCTGACGAGTGCTAGAAAGGCGAAACATATGTAAAATTCGATAGAATAGATGTTCTTATAACTAATCATGTGTGTACATTTTTGTTTCACGTTAAGTTTATGATCAAAATAATTAATCTTACTTAAAGAAGATGAATAATCACATCGCTCATTGTAGTGAAGTTATCTCCGTAATGTCTTCTCATCAAACAGAAAACAAAACTTGAATAGGTCTCAAACCCTTCAAATAATGATTTGACAAAAATGTTGTACGCTGCCTTTAAACAAATTCGTGAAAACAAAAAGGAAATTTCAAAAAACAAATAAATAGGTTTAACGGTAAGCTCTTCGTTCCCGAGCAATATAAGGTCAGTTGTGGTTAATTCCACTGCATATTTGTATACGCAGTTGAGAAGAGACGACAATGTATTAGGTAATGTTCAGCGGTTCCATTTGCTTCCATACATGAACAGAGAGGACTATGAATAAGATTTCATCTGTGCAAATAAAACTTTAGAGAACTACACTGCATACTTAGCCTAACAAGATGTATCTGCCCAATGTGGTACCACTGTAAAAGTGATTGGGGTTTTAAAATATTTTTAAATAGAAGGGTCGTTCTTTACAAGATGTGACAGAGAATTCCAACTAGAAATGACAGGCGGTAAGAAGGACTTGCTAAAGAAACGTGTATGGACCAAGCACCATTTTGTGTAAAAGTATAAGCTTGCGATGTTTCCGTCTTCCCACGAAACATTTATAAACGCACAGTTAGAATAAAATATTTCAAATGTTCCGAAAGGTTTGGTGTTTAGCAAATTTTATTCAACCCGAAATAGGTAATGTCACGTTATAAAATGAGAGCCGTGTAAATATCATCAAAACCGCTAAATATACTGACGAACATCGAACACTCTTAACTTCATATCACATAAGGAAATAAAATGCTGAAGCATATTACTCTCTTTTGGCTTCGATCACCTGGCAAGTATATTATGGCCACACACAGCTGACGATATATCTATAGGTCAAGTATCATGTAATATCATCCCAGTTTTATCAATGGAATCACATAGAATTCAAAGGAATTGTATCAAAATGTTTCATTCAGGTTTAATTTATATGATAAGAATAACACTTGTTATCAGACTGAGTCAGTACATGCTCTTAATCCATCCGTTACCACCACTTGAGAAAAATTTACGAACTTCGCACATCTGGACTCTTGTTCCACAAAGTATGGTGATTCATAAGGTAAAAATCGTACGTTTCTGCTGAAATATTTATTTTATTGTTTTTATGACTTAGTGTAAATGTTTGGTAGTTTGATTTTTTTGGAAGTTTTGTTAAAATGTGAATGTGGGAATAATACATATGGATATAAGAGACGCTAACTAAATTACCCAGGAGGCAATATCTTGATAAAGCATGCGATGACTGAGAAAAGCCTGCTGTTTCTATTTTTGTCTGTAAATACCCAACGTCATCAGTTCTCCTTGTAATAACTATTTATATGAAGTGATATCACCCAGGAAACCCACACTTATAATTAGTAGGAGTGACACATTGACCTTGAAATTTGAAAAGCTACCACATCGCTGGTGAAAGTTTACTCGAGGTTAATACAACAAGATGTTCCGGTAATCGGAATTTGTGATTAACCGTACCCCTGGGACCCCCATTATAGTTCACCATGGAATTCTAAATGTGGCTCAACTTGGTTCCATATTTGGAGACAGGCAGAAGTGTAGCAATATATTATTATCATTATACTTTTGATGTGGGTGTCACCCATCATCATACGTTCGAAAGAAAACGGAACATACATCTCTCTAATATTCGAATCTTGAATTGTGTAAAACTCCTATAGACGACGCGTAAAAATCATCATAAATATCAACTGACAATTTTGGATTTGTATATTTTGAAATATAACTATATCATTATCATATACAACAATTATATTGAAATGTAGTCAAAATTCATAATATGCTGGTGCTTGCTCTTTTCACAAAGGTTTCAAAGAAAATTCAACATTTCATCAAGAATATGTACAAATGCACTCGGAACTATTAAGTTGATAAAATCGTAATCCAGACTGAGAATCGAAAAAATACGAGGCAAAACACGAACCAAAAAAGACTAGCATGGAGAACATTGACAGACCTGTGTCCGAAAGATAATTGTCTTCATCGAGATTAGTTCTCCCCTCTCCCACATTTTAAGAACGAAGTAATTATATAAACACTAGAGGACAATAGAGGTGTTATAATAGTCTTCTACCGCCATGTAAATATTGGTCCTTCTAGGTAAGAAACGTCACGTTCATTGCAAATGAAAACAAAACCAACATTAATAAAATCACCAGTGAAAATTACGAACATCGAACAATTTCTCATCAAATCGCGCTCTGTTTTCATACGCTCTTGATTATAGTCTGTCTCAAATGAAAACGAAAGCATATCAACCAAGAGAGGGACACAGTTCTGAATACAGGTCTATGTATACATGTATATATTATCATTTATCATATCTAGCAATTGTACATATGGAAATCAATCAACTTGTAGGGCCAAGTTGTAGATCAGCAAAAACTATTAACAATTTCAAACTAATAATTTCTTTTATTGTTTATTTTTCTTTTGGAAAACAAGTTATGGTTAAATTACATTATCTGACTGACAATGCACGATCGGAAGCAGCCATATCGAGTTTAACAAGTTAAGAAATCAAGCTAGAAATTAAAATAAGAAGCATTACATTGTGAAAATAATAATAATGATAATAATAATAGTATATGGAAAAGAAGTTAGCTGCACCTTAATTTACAAAACATATTCTATATATAGTTTCTGTCTGTTTTTTTTTCCAAAACCGAACGTTAACAAGCTGAATTAGTCATAACAGCTGAAATGCTTTACAACGTGGGTAAATAGTGTTCATTTATTATCTTATTTCTTAATTTGCAGTCATTGTCATGATTATGTTTGA